AACCCGCCACCTTAGGTGTACGTGGCTGGCGCCTTAGCCGGTTGAGCTATAGGTGCCGAGCCTTTTCCTACTTTTTTAGTAGAGACAGGGTCTCTCTTTCTTGCTTAGGTTTTAGTGGTTCACCACTTAAGCAAACTGGATCCTTAGAGATGCATTTTAAGGTTATGCACCCTCAATTTCTTTTAGCTCCTCCTCAGCCCCAACCCTAGTCAGCCAGTTGACTGACACTAGGCCTTTGGGATCTCTGGGCTCCTCCCCTTTGAATTTTACTGCTCCCTTAAAAGATTTTGAAAAACTATGCCACGTGCACAGAAGTCAACAGCTAACATTTGTAATAACTTAAATAGTATTGCAAAGGGTATGCTTTCCAGTGAATTATACTTGTTTAAAATTACATTTTGGCCAGACATGGTGGCTCACACCTGTAATCCTAGCACTCTGGGAGGTTAAGGCAGGTGAATTGTCTGAGCTCAGGAGTTTGAGACCAGCCTGAGCTAGAAGGATCCTGTCTCTAAAACTAGCCCAGCGCCTGTAGTCCCAGCTACTCGGGAGGCTGAGAAAAAAGAATCCCCTAAGCCCAGGAGTTGAAGGTTGCTGTGAGCTGTGATGCCATGGCACTCTACCAAGGGCAATAAAGTGAGAGTCTGTCTCTAAAACAAAACATAACAAAAACAAAAACAAACAAACAAACAAACAAACAAAAAAACTAACTAACCTAACTATAGGTGAAGAAGCAGCAGCCTAGAGAGTCAGAATTAAGAGTTTTTATTTTTCCATTTCTCAGAAGCACCATCATTGTCTACTGATAGTTCCCAGTAGTAGGCCGCCAGGTGGCAGCAGGGAGCACAGCGCTAGCAGCCCTGCCCCGAGGTCCCGGGTGGGGCACAGAACTTGGGGAGGAAGTTGGCAGCAGCAGAGGATGGGATACGAGGTAGAAGTGTATGCTTAGGCTTTCAGAGAAAAATAGAGGGGAAATATGATGGCCAAATATAGACCTCAGGAGGCGACAGAAAATATTGAGAACAACACTTTGCGAATGTTGAGGGAATGAGGAAGAGACTTAAGGAGGTAGGCTAAATTGGGTAGAACTTAGGGGAAGTCAGAGGATGGAGACAGGCTTGGGTGTACTGTTCCTGGAGATGCCTGGGAGCAGGGGCAGCTCTGGACATCTCCTTATCGGTACTCTTCCTGGGGTGGGTCAAGGTCTGGCTCCACCTGAGCTCCGTGGTCCACCTCTGGGGCAGGGGGCCAAGGGTTTTCTGGGGGCTGGGGTCCTGCTGGCCAGGGGTCATCAGGCCGGGGAGGTTGAGGTGGATCAGTTCTGGGCGGCTCAGGGGGCCAGACTCCAGCTTCAGGAAGGTCTCTCCAAGGGCGACTGGAGCCTGGAGGCGGAGGATCCTTAAAGAGAGGAGGTGCCCCTGGCCAGGGGTCCCCAGGGACTGGTGAAGCCTGAGGAAATGTTGGGGAGCCTTCCTCCTCTTGAGCCTCCATGGGTGGGAGAGAGGGGTGGTCCCCACTGCCTGAGATGCCTGTAGCGGAGGAAAGGGAAAGGTAAGGGGTGGTGAAGGCCAGACCTCTTTCCCGCCTCTACCTCAGCTATACACCCAGGAGGCATTGCCTTTCTGGGAGCCGGAGCTGATGCCGCAGACAGGCCTCAAAAGTCTCTCTCAAAGAGCTCTCTAGATATTTACAAATACTAAAATTATCTTAAAATGGCATGACCATCACCACCACCACTAATCTGAACCATTACCTTGACCAACTTTAAACTGATAGGACCTCCATAAACAAGCTCCAAACCTGGTTGGGCCTCCCCATGCACCCCAACATGTTCTATACCTTGGTTCCATCAGTACCCAGATCCCACCTTTACAGTGACCCCACCCTCCTTAATACAGGTCCCAATGGTTACTTACCCCACACATCAAAACCCTGACTTAAGTCATCACATGGAGCTACCTGGGCCAGCAAAACATTTATTCTGAGCCAAAATGCATCTACCTGCAACCCCTTAACTCTTCCTTCCCCTCATGCGAATTCCCAGAATCTCTCCCACTCCATGCGTTTAGTTCATCCCCTTCCTTCTCAGTGGTCACCCTCACTTGTAGTGACCATCCCTCATCTCCCAAATTGCGCTCCTGACCTCTGCTCCCAGCTCACCTCCAGCATACAGGCAAAGGACCAGGACCCCCAGTAGCTTCCAGTTCAGCAACATGGCTGTCTCCTGCCCCTAAAGCTGGGGCGGGCTGAGTCTGGGTGATTGGGAACCCCAGAGGCTTTATAGGGGAGGAAGGAGAGGAGGAGGCCAGTTTCTGGGGACAGGCTGGCCCAATGAAACAAGGAACCAGAACCAAACTGGTCAAACCTGTTTGGAGGCTAGCATGTAACCTCTGATGGCAGCGTCCCTCGGTTTAGTCTCTGAGCCCAGGACCCAGCTGCTTGGCTCTCCCTATCAGTGACCCAGACCCGGGGTCACCCCACTTTTGTTTCACACCTTGCAGTAATCAGTACCCACCTGGCATCTCCATAATCACAGGGATGTCCGCCTTTCTTCCCTTGCAGCTGCTGGAAGCCCAAGAATGGGAGCAAACTGCACGTGGGGAAGCACCATAATTATAGGGGCTAGGAGGCAGGACGCCTGGGCAGGCGTGGGCTGGGGGTGCCTAAGAAACCTGGGATGAAGCTGGGACAGTGTCAGCTGGAACTCCAGCCTCCCCACCCACCCACATGCTGACTGGTCCCTCTCCTTCCTGGAGCGTTCTTCTTTCCCTGGCACTTCCTGCCCCCCAAGGACCCAGGTATGCTGCTCTCCAGCATGTGCCTTCTTCAGGCATGCAGGGGGCCTCCCGAACAGTGACGTCTGAGGAATTCCATCCGGGAGCCACTTGGATGACTACAGAAGAGGAAGGAGACACACTAGGATCTCCAGGTTCCCTCTTCCCACCTAGGGCTGGTTACATCAGTCCTTGCCCAGAGGCTCAGGAAGTAGCTGCCTCCCTCCTGTAACTTCAGCCTCTTCCCCCTCCCTCAGCAGTTCTCCTCTCTGCCCCTCTGGCCTATCCTCTGGTCCTTGGCTCCAACTCTCTCATGCCTATCTCCTCCCTCCCCTAGTCCTTTAGATCTCAGATCCCTTGGCTCAGGGCCTGTGGCTTTAGTGGCTAAGGCGCTAGCCACATGCACCTAAGGTGGCGGGTCTGATTCCAGCCTGGGCACACCAAGCAACAATGACGGCTGCAACCAAGAAAATAGCTGGGCGTTGTGGCAGGCGCCTGTGGTCCCAGCTACTCAGGAGGCTGAGGCAGGAGACTCACTTGAGCCCAGGAGTTGGAGGTTGCTGTGAGCTGTGATGCCATGGCACTCTACCCAGGGGGACAGCTTGAGGCTCTGTCTCCAAAAAAAAAAAAAAAAGAAAAGATCTCAGATCCCTTGTCTTAGAGGTCCCCCTAGAACAGTGGTTCTCAACCTTCCTAATGCTGCAAACCTTTAATACAGTCTAAAGGAATTGTGACCCACAGGTTGAGAACCACTGCCCTAGAACCTTTTTTTCTTTCTTTTCTTTCTTTCTTTTTTTTTTTTTTGTAGAGACAGAGTCTCTCACTCCTTTGCCCTTGGTAGAGTGCCATGGTGTCACACAGCTCACAGCAACCTCCAGCTCTTAGGCTTAGGTGATTCTCTTGCCTCAGCTTCCTGAGTAGCTGGAACTACAGGCGCCCACCAAAACGCCTGGCTATTTTTTGTTGCAGTTTGGCTGGGGCTGGGCTCAAACCCACTACCCTTAGTATATGGGGCTGGCGCCCTACTCACTGAGCCACAGGTGCCACCCTAGAACCTTTTCTTTTTTGAGACAGAGTCTCATTTTGTTGCCCTTGGTACAGTGCTGTGGCATCATAGCTCACAGCAACCTCAAACTCTTGGGCTCAGAGGATTCTCTTGCCTCAGCCTCCTAAGTAGCTGGACTACAGGCATCCACCACACACCTGGCTAGTTTTAGAGAGGAGGTCTTGCTCTTGCTCAGGCTGGTCTCAAACCTGTGAGCTCAGGAAATCCACCTGCCTCAGCCTCCTGGAGTATTAGGATTACGGGGTGAGCCACCCATAGAAACTTTTCTTTAAGGACCTTTCTGACTAGAGGTCCATAAACCTCTCAGAAGTAATGTGTTCAAAAGAGAACTCCATTCCCCCTCAGGTTGTTCCCCACAACAAATGGTCTGTTCCCCCTGCAGTAGAGGACACCACTGTCCACTTTGGTTTACCTCACGTTAAAACCTTCATTCCTTCCCATCCACCTGCAAGGCTCCCTGGCCCCCCATTCACCCCTCATCCAAACTCAACCCACTGTCCTGAGCCACCATCTCTCCTCCAGCCTCCCCCACCCTTCTAATTGGCCCCTCTGCTCCCTCTATTCACCCCTCCCCTACACCCAAACCCATCCCCCACAACCAGCCAAAAAATCTCTTTAAAATGTACATCCAGGCTCGGCGCCTGTGGCTCAAGTGGCTAAGGCGTCAGCCACATACACCTAAGGTGGCAGGTTCAAATCCAGCCCGGGCCCGCCAAAACAACAATGACGGCTGCAAC